CATTAACCTCTGGCCTGCATACAGCCTGCATACACTCCATACACACACACACACACACACACACACACACAGAGAGAGAGAGAGAGAGAGAGAGAGAGAGAGAGAGAGAGAATTATCTCCAATATAAGCCACCCTTCCTCTTTGTAAATGTTAGCCCACTGTACTATCAAGTTAAAAAGAAAGAAATTTCACAAAGCCTAATGATCTATGGGCTTACAGATGCAAGCTGAATATAAAACCCTAGGCCCATTGTATTACTATTATCGGGTAATTTCTAACTCATATTTGGACCATCATGAAGACTGATGGAGTCATCGCAGGACTCAGACGCCCACAAATATAATTCTTATTAATAGGAAATATCCAGTTATCCACATGGTTGGCTGAAACTACTGTTTTCAAAAAGCCTAATCTATCCCCAAATTGTAGAAATATTTCAAAAACGCATTTATTTGCATATGTGAAAGCATACTTCAGAGCAGTAGTGGTCTTGTGTGTCAGTGTGTACTGATGACAGAGACAATGTGCTTCCCCCCTCAGGACCATCGAGTCTCTCTACAGGGAGCTGGTTGAAGAAGGCCTGCTGATCCAGGCTCTGAAGGTCAACCTGTCTGATTACATCGGTAATGTACACTCAGAACAGTAGGTGCATCTGTCACATGGCACTCGTGGGCTCTAGAAATGTATGTCACTGTGTGTCTTTCTAAACAGACGCCTGGTCATGGTGGCTGCTGGTAAATTGATTTTAACAACCTAAGGGGGTGCTGTGAACAAAGGGGCTCCCTTGAAAAAAACCAGTCTTTTAGTATGGTAGAAGCTGGTTTTCTCAACCTGTTAGCGGAATTCCTTCACCAGTTCTTTCTGGCATGACCTGATGTGAAGAAATGAATGGTACATGCATTTGTGTTCACCCATTGCCCCTGGACTCCTGTGGTACACAGCCCTTCAGAAGCTGGTTTTCTCAACCTGTTAGCAGAATTCCTTCACCAGTTCTTTCTGGCATGATCTGATGTGAAGAAATGAATGGTTCGTGCATTTGTGTTCACCCATTGCCCCTGGACTCCTGTGGTACACAGCCCTTTCACGGGGTGTTCCTTCCCGAGGACTTTTAGTGGAGTCAGAAGAGTTAGGAGGAGGGAGAGGGGACCATGATGACTTTAATCTTCAACTAGGGGTTTATGGGGATTTTTAATTAAAAATGTATCTATGATGACCTAAGAGCATGCTAAATGTTTAAAATTTCACACAATTCTGCATCCTGATGGAGATGTTGTGTTTACTTTGGTGAGAAAACTTCACTAGTGGTAGGTAAAGGACAGTCTCCAACAAAACCACAAAGAGCAGTCACACTCAGAAAACCTAACTCTAACGCTAACACTATTGTCCAGGGTATTCTTGTTAGATAGTCTCCAGCAGCCCTGAAATGTGTTCTTCACGGCTGCTTGTCTTTCTGTCTCAGATTCCATTGAAGGTGTACATGCAGCTGTGACTCTGTTCTCCTGCAACTCCTTCTGTCTAGAACCCCATCCCTTCCGTCTTAGTTAAGTTTCTTTTGCTGTCTGTGATAAACACCATGACCAAAGGCACCTTAGGGAGGAAAGGGTTTATTTGGCTTTCACATCAAGATCACAGTCCATCACTGAGGGAAGCCAAGTCAGGAACCTGAAAGCCGGAGCTGATACAGAGGCCAGCGAGGCATGCTGCTTACGGACTTGATCCTTTCGGCTTGCTCAACCCCCTTTCTTATATAATCCAGGACCACCAGCCCAGGAAGGCTGGGCCCTTCCCCATAGATCACTAATTAAGAAAATACCCTACAGGCTTGTCCATAGGCCAGTCCAATGTAGGCATTTTCCCAATTGAAATTTCCTCTTTCTAGACAACTCCAGCTGAGTTGAGTTGACAAAAGCAAGTATCAGCAGTACACCCACTGCTGAGCCATTCACAACTGCACCTTTCTGAAGGTCTGAGTTGCTTTACTGATGGCCCCTTTGTTGGGTTTCTTGGATGGTTTCTTCACCTTTTTGTCCAGAATTAAACATTTTTGGCTGGAAAACTACATGCATTGGTGTGTCCTCGGGGCCTCCCACTGGAGGTACCTGAAGGCTCTTTGTCTCACCTGGTGGCTTTTAAGTTGAACTGGTGGTGAACCTACTGTCTCCAGACTTTTGTTTCCTTTGTCCCTTTACAAATGATTAACAGTCTCTGGGGGTGTGGGAGGGTGAGGGGGACTTGGGACTCTAGAGATTGTTTCAAGCCATCTTTCATGAAAATATCCGAGAATCTACTGGGGATTTTTGCCACCCAGATGCCCATTTACCTCCTTATCGCTCAGATTACAGAACTGGCCCATATACTCAGGCAAGCCTTGCTCAACCTTTATGTGTCTGGGAGTTTGGCTTGGTTTGTTGAGCCTTGTATGGAATCTTCTCCTGTTCTAGGGTCTTACCCATTTCCTCATTACACCACCATCCCATGGTTCACCTTTTGAGATTTTTGTACATGTGTGTTACACATACGTAACACATATGTTTGTGTGTGTGCACGTATGTACACAGGCATGTGGAGAGAAGTTGACCTCTGATGTCTCCCACTGCTGCTCTCTACCTTCTTTTTTGAGATAGGGTACCTCACTGAACCTGAAGCACATGGATTTGGCTGTCTAGATAATGAATTCCCCTACATCCTCCTGCCTCGACCTCCCCAGCACTGGAGTGATGTACCCCACTGAGCCTAGCTTTCACAAACGCAATTCTTCATGGTTACCCAGCAAGCACTTTACCCTCTTTGTCACATCCCCTGCCCTGGTCTCCTTCACCTCCCTTAATCCAACTCAGCCCTCTTGGCAGATCTGGGCAACATAGGAGGCAACTTTACAATCCAGTCCTTCACTCCCCGCCTCTGACTGGGCATGGACCTGCCAGCCAGATGGAGGGGGCTTAGGATAATGCTTTGATAACTTGTCATTGTCTCCCCGGATCCATTTCTGATTTGGGGACAGGCCACCTCAAATCTGCAGGTGCCCTTCATCAGAAAAGCCAAACATACTTCCCATGTTAAAGGAGTTGTAGTCAGGTAAGCATGAGATGCACTTAAACACACAGCCCACCTTCTCAGCATCTCTCAGCCAGTTCCTATGTGGTCTTCTCATCCAGAAGGAGTCAGTGAAAATGATCAACTCTCACTCGTCCTCTGTCTTACTGGTTTTGATTTTCTGTTCTTGGTTTCTTTAGCATTTTTATACAGAGGTGGCCCCTAGCTGACACTGGGTGACTCATGCCCTATGAAAGATACCATCTCATGGCCCTAACTTTCCTCTATGTTAACAGGAAAGCAAGTGTGTGGGCCAGGCCTCCAGGCCTCCTCTTAAAAGGAGACAGCAAGGACCCCTTACACAGCTGGCTGCACATTCCTAAGACCAGGGACACAATGCAGGTCCAGCCTTGACTGCTCAACAATGCTAGGATCTGAACCAGCTTTTGAAGCCCTGTGGTTTGCAGTTCCTCTCTCAAGTTAGCCCCCTTAAAATTACAGATGTATTCCACAGCGCAGCAGGTCAGGACTGCCCTCCATGCTCTCAGCTCTGCCTCTGTCCAGATGCTCAGCTCCAAGCACTGGCCCTGTACCCAGAAGCCCAGCAACAGGCTCCTGGCTAGATCTCAGGTATACAAGAAACAAAACACCTAATTTGGCTTTGCAACCACTGCATGATCAGTGCTGTTCAAACACTCTTTTTTAAAGAGCCGAGACCCTACCTCTAGAGAGCAGCACACTCCAGGTTCCTGTGTGAAGTATTCTGGGTACCAACCCCTTTACCACAGGGTTGAGGCTGGAGTCTATCTAGTGCTTGGGACCCTTGATCCAAATAGGCAAGGCTAGCCCATCCCAGAGGTCCAGAATCCCTGCCCTTTTCTGGATCTTTCAATGCCTCCATTTCTGCTACTGTGGAATGGAAATGACAACAGCAGCAACCTCAATAAACGAATGTCCACACTGCCTGGGTCACACCCCCAGTTCTCAGACCTTCATTAGCTACTATCCTACTATCCCCTTGGCAATGCTGTTGTCATCTTCATTGGTGGACCATGAGAAAGGCTGTTGTCTTCTGGGTGCCCTGCATCCCCTACTTCCCCCTAGACTACATCTGCTCAGAGCACCAAGAGGTGCAGCCACCTACAAACAGCTCAAGGTTCTTCGGAGTTATCTTGGTGCACGGTGACTCCACAGCTGCTGTGCTCAATGAGAAATGGACCAAAGCCCTCTTAATGCCATTCACATTCTCCTCGGTGCTCATCACCTCTGCTAAAGCTTGGACAATTCCACAAGCCTCCAAAACTCCAGTCCCAAAAGCTACGGAGTATGCCAGCACCACACAGAAGCATGATCTTGCAAGAGTTCTCTAGAGACATCTTGAGTCTCTTGGAATTTGTACTCTTTTTGGAAGCTGGGGAGCTCACACCAAACACAAACCTAGTTCTTCAGCATTTCCAGAAATTTTCTATGTGCACTGTGATAGCTGGACTTTAACTCTGTACCTACACAACACTAGGTTTGTCCATAGACCAGCATGCGGCAGACAGCCCCCACCATGCATGCTGAGCACTGAGTAACAGGGGTGAGATGGCCAATGTTGGTGTTGTGCCAAGGAGCACTGCTTGTGTCATGGACGCTCCTGTGGGCCCTCACCCTGTCCCTTAAGGATTTCTTTAAGAGGCTAGATTACTGACTTGAGAGATAGGTGAGTCAGCATGAGGACATGACTTCTGTCCCTGGAACCCATGGACAAGGAGTCAGGTATGGTGGCACCTCACAGTTCAGGGGAAGGAGGAACAGGTGAAACCATGGTGCTCACTGGCCAACAAGCCTACCTACCTACTGAGCTCTAGACCAATGAGAAACCCTGTCTCAAAACAAAGGTGGACAGTTTCTGAAAAACAATAGAGCTTGACCTCTGGCCTTCACACACACACACACACACACACACACACACACACAGGCATTTTGATGAACTGCTTCATTCTTCACTCCTTTATTATTTCTATACTGAATAGAACAAAAACACAAGTAGCTGAATTTGTTTTGATTTCCAGGATCCTTTGTGTTTCTGGCTGCTTTCAACTGTGCTCTTCCACGCTGCTTCTTTTCATTTTGCTCCGTACCTGCATGGTACGGCTGTCTTAAGGAGACCACAAGCCTGGCAGCTTGCATGGTGGAAACTGATAGACTTGGGGTTCTGAAGACTGGAAGTCTGAGGTTGAGACATGGCAGGGCGGGTTCCTTCTGAGGCTGTGAGGAAAACACCCACACTTCTCTGTTTCTGATGTGTGGTTGCTTTACCCCTTCTGCGCCCTCATCTTTGTGTCCAATCCTCCCACCAGGCATGTCTTTCTCTGTATCCAATCCTTCCATGCCCATTATGGCAGGAATCCCACTCATCTGCAGGACACCTGGTGGTCCCATTATCTGAAAGGACCCTCCTTGCAGGTGAGGTCACATGGTGAGAAGCTGGGCTTAAAGACTCCAGCATACAGATTGTACTGGAACTCAGCTCAGCCCTTGGAGCATTCTGTGATTCTTTTCTTCGGATTGTCCTGAATTTCCTAGCCCCATTTCACGTCCTCTATCTCAAATACCCTTTCTTCTGGCTTTCCCCTTTCCTCTCTGGAAGATCTGCTGCTTGTGCAGGGTATCCAGAACTTTCTGAGCTCTGACTCTGGAGATGGGAAGGGATAATGGCTCGCATTCTAAGCTATCATAAAACACAAACATGCTTTCAGAGTGAGGCTCATATCTTGGCAAACAGCCTGGGCTAGTTGGACCTTTCTCTCTATCAGAACCAACACCCACTAATTTAATTTAATATAATTTGTTTAAATCAAATCTGCTAGGTTCCAGAAAATATGGTCCGCCTGGATATTAATATGGATTTACATAAGCAAGAAAATTGAGGTCACTTTCACAGCCCCTCTAATGTCTTGTTTACTGGCAGTAGGCACTAGATTTAACGGTTGCTACAGCGTCCCTTTCCCTTCTGGTAGAGGCTAAATTAACCATTCTGCTATTTATTACCTGCTTGTTAAAACGCAGGAGTCTCTGGATCCATAATGGAAGTGTCCACTATCACTCATTCCGCCAACCAGTACCGGCGTCCCTGCCAAGGACTTCTTTTTTAATGCTGAGGATTTGGAAGGCTGCCCTGCACAAGACAGCAGCCAGTCTCTCAATTGCAGCTCTAATTTTCCACACGTTTGGAAATGCTATAGGCATGGGGTATCTTTAAAAATTTCACACACAGGAGTGTGCCCACTACATCACACACACACACACACACACACACACACACAGGCACACACCACTGCCACTGAGCACCTATAGTAGGAAAGAAAGCATGGGGGGGCCCCCCCGCAATCAAACGCCCTGCCTCCTTCTAGGAGTATTTTCACTGCGGGTTCAGACCCCCCCCAATCAAACGCCCTGCCTCCTTCTAGGAGTATTTTCACTGCGGGTTCAGAAACAGATCACGGGAATCATAGAGGTACATAAAGGTCCTTCCTTGTGACAAATTGAGACAGCCAAACTAATTTTCTTGGTGACCTTATCTAAATGAGTTAGAAAATAACACTTCAGATTTATGGCCAGTTACAATTAAGCCCTTTGATATCTTTAATTAAACCTGTAGAGATTTATTTCCATATTATTCCTTTGGCAACCCTTTAAAAATGATAAAAATGTAAATTAATATCGCCCTCAACAGGAGATGTTTCTATTTATCCTAAATTAGACTCAGACCCTTCCTCTCACACTGCACTGCTCGGCACACATTCCACGGGGATCTTAAATAATTTATTGTGGAACTTTCCACCAATTTAAGAAATAATCTCTTAGGGTCTAAAGCAAAGCCTGCAACACTTTAGCCGCTTTGTATGTCACTCAAAACTTTATCTAGCTTCACACAACCAAACCAATACCCCTCTCTCTCTCTCTCTCTCTCTCTCTCTCTCTCTCATGACTGTGAGTGACAGTGCTGAGGATCAAATCCGGGACCTGGTACATGCTAAGCAGCCAGTATTTTTTCCCTGTGAGATTACTGTAACTGTTAATGTAACTTACCTTTTATTACTGCTGGCATAGCTATGTTTTCTTGCCTGGTTTCTCTTGGGCTCATTCTATAGCTGTGATAAAAATCCTCTAGCTAAAAGCAACCCAGGGAGAAAAGTGATTATTTGGTTTACACTTCCAGGTCACAGTTCATCAGTGACAGAAGTCAGGGCAGGAACCACTCCTGGAGGAAGACTTTCTGCTGCCTCACCCTTCTGATTTTTGTTCACTTACTCATCTATACTTAGCTAGCTTTCTTATACAGCCCAGAACTACCCACCTAAGGATGGTGCGGTCCATTGTGGGCTGGGCCTTCCTGTATCAATTCTCTGCCATGGACAACCTCCCCATAGACAAGCTCACAGGTCAATCTATCTGGGCAATGCCTTGATCACAGCTTTCCTCTCAGATGACTCTGTATTGTGTTGGCATAATAGTTCAGTATGAGGAGGACAGACATACCCTCCATGACGGCTCTTCCATGTTGCCTCTATGTTCTCTGATCCTTCATTTTTCCCATTCACTCACCCAGGTTTCCTTCCTCCCCAGGTGAGTACAGCTATCTGGGAACCACTCTGCGCCAAGTAGCCATAGAGCCCATGCCCTCCCTCCTGGATGTGAGACAGCTCATCACACTGTATGGGATCTTGCCTTTGGGTAAGGACTAGCCACTTCCACAAGCTGAGGCCTCAAGTGCCTTGGTGGTATTTCCTGTTTGACCCTAAAAGGACTTTTTTATTTTAATATGAAGCCTTATCTCACTTCCATAGTACCTGCCCAACAGAGAAGGGCATGCTGGGAAGAATGTTTCTGTGACATCTTTGGGTCTAGTTTGCGTTATGGCAGTCCATTGGAGAGAGGTGGCCTCTGTGAAGTCAGTCAGCTGAGCCCAAGGACTAAGGTGGCTATGTGCCTTCACATACTACCTTCTATGGCTGGGTCCTGAGCATTCCTCTCTGAAATCTGTAGAATGTCTTTCCTGTGTGCTAACACTTTCCCCGAGGCTCTCCCGATGTCCCCTGATATCCCAAAAGAATTCCATCACAGTTCTCCAGACAGGGCTTTAGGACACGCCTAGCGATACAGGAAGGCATGGAGTCAGTCCCCCTTCCCTCTGCTTGGTGGCTGCCTTGGGAGGACAACACCCCGACAGACAGAACTCTGCCCACAGCTCGGAAACAAACTAGAAATCACTGCTGTTTCACCTGCTTCAATAACTTTCTGGCTTTAACTTAAGAACTTAAGTCTGTTGGCAAGAAAGCCTCATGGCCTCTCCTGATGTTACATCAGAAATAGTAAATGTAATTTAAGGGCAGTAGAAATATACAGATACTATAGTTCATACTGTGTCTCATACAAATATAACCTATTGGAGCACATGACTTAATGTCAACACACTCAGTCTGTACCATTCACAGGGCCAACTTAATAAAGTACATGGAGCCTCGCAGCTTGCTGTGACATAGTGGAAGACAGGAAACACAACGAGCCAGTAGGTTTGCCAGCAGCTCTTCCTGCCCAAGGGTGGGCTACATTTGTTCCCTTAGCACCCAGGTCCCCGCTGTGCATGGTTTCCCATTCTGCTTCAGAAGCCTTCCTTCAGGAGGCAGTCTGCCCCCTCCTCCTCCCCCACCCCTTTGTCATGGAGGACCCTTCCATGCCCCACCCCACCCCACTCCACCCCCAGCCCTGGCTGTCATCGACAGCTGCCAAGCCCTCCCGGCCAGAATTAGCTGGAGAGATTGTTCTCCTGAGAGAGCTTTATGTCACCTGTCAAGAATGCAGACACAAGCAGGGCAGATGAGCTATGTGCACAGATATGCTTCCGGGTGTTTGATGTAAAGTTCATGCGTCACCTCTAGCCGCCAGTGAGAGCAACCTGAGGAGATGCTGGCTGCTGCCTGTACAATTCCTGAAGAGGCCACTTGCTTCCCCACGGTCACTGGGGAAACCTCAGTGGTGCCCTGTTACAAAAGGAATGAGGCAGGGTTTTAGGGGACATGGATTGTTCACCTCGGGGGCAGCCATAGGCAGAAGCCCACAGAGGCCACTTTCCACATCTGGTCATGAGACAGAGTCCCATCCTAAGTGACTAGGACTAGGGTTGAGACTCCATAAACCCCTCAGGGTGTAAGAGAAAGCCCAGGATGTATCTAATCAGGTCCTGGAAGATCCAGAGAAGAGGCTGAGGGTGCTGGGGAGGGCATTTTTCTGGGTAGATCTGGGTTTGCTCCGATAGTCCCTTCCTCTCCTGAACCCTACTGTCACCTACCCTCCAGAGTCCTCTGTCTCCAGATGGCAAAAGTGGGGCCAGGGCTAGAACACCAACCCTCTTGTTACTCTACAGTCCTCCAGACCTTAAACAGGCCCTATGCCCAAAGCTGGAAATGTCCTGAATCTCTAGACCACTCCATGAGCATGTCAGGAAGAGCTGCAGTTGCCAGGCCTGTGAGGTCCCCTGGCTCTCTGGATTAGCCGAGCCGCAACCACAGGGCCCTTCCCTGGACCACCCTCCTCGCCTCTGAATGGTCTGGGTGATCCCTCCCCCAAAACTTGACATCCTGCGAGCACGGGGAGGGGGGGCACATCTTCCTCAGCGTCTCCTGTCCCTCCCCAGATTCCATCCTTCACACTGTCCTTTCCCCTGGCCATTCTTCCCAGACTCTCCCACCCCGGCCCCAGCCAGCACCCTTGGCAAGCCTATAATCCCCATCCCTTTCAGACACCCAACTGTCACCAGTCTCCTCACCTGCCTGTCACTGTCTTTCCCCTGACACCGCACCAATCAAAATGTGCACAGCTTCCTCGAGACCCACCTGGTTAGTCATTGTGCCTCCATCGCTGAGACTTTTCTCACACACTGCTCCTGGGATCCCCTCCTCCAGCTGAGGCCCCTAGCTTAATTTTAGCTTCTCCAGGATCTGAGGATCTTGAGGTCCCACGCACCCTTTGCCTCCCATTCCAAGTACACCTTAGTCTCAGTCCCGTCCTGGCTTCCTGCTGCAGGTTCACCTTCTCAGGGTTCAGAGCCTTCCCAACCATAAACTCTTAGCAGCATGTCTCAAGACAGTTCCACATTTAAAGCCCACCCTACTTAGCCACAGGAGCACCCAGGTCTTGTCGGGACCATGGCCAAAGCATCCTTCCATACCCAGGAACGAACGAAAGACAAATGAATGGCCTATTTCTCCTGCCAGCAAAAAATTATACCTCCTCCATGGTGTCATATTGCTGTAGCCCCCACCAACCACAAACAATGCACCCTTGTTTATGTCACTGGAAAGAATATGGAGAATGGTGAACAACTATGAAAATATGTTTCTGATTTTCACGTAATTCCTGTATCTTTTCAATTATACCTGAAAGGAAAGGAAGGAACAAATTATATTGAGCCAGGCATGACGGCACATGGCTGTGATCCTAGCCTTAGAAAGGCAGAGAAAAAGGATTGGGCCAGTCCGGACTATAGGATGAGACCCTGTCTCAGGTTTTATTGTTAATATTATTATCATTATATTCACATATTAACAGCCAAAACATGGGCTCCCAGAGTCATCAAAACCAGAGTCCCTCAAGGACAGCTGCTCCCCACACCACACTGACTAGCACTGAATCTGTGCCCCTTGTACCTACTGAGTGCCCCCTGCCCTGTTCTGCTACTCCCAACCCCATATTGGAGAACACCTGGCCTGAAGTATATACTGTGGGGATGAGGACAGGAGGCAGCAAGATGATAATCCAAGTTACTTTATTGCCAAGTGCCAGATGACCTTTGTTCCTGACAGTCTAGGCCGAGCTCAGGAGGAACACCTCCCGAGGCTTTTTCCCTGGCCCTTGGCCTTTCATCTGTCTCATATACTTCAATACATAGTAGAAAAGAAGGTCCCAGGGAAAATGAACACATTTCAGCAGACCTCATTGTCTGTCTCTCTGCATTCCATTCCCAAGCTCTCAGAGGATTTAGTGAAGCTCTTGACAGAGAAACCCCACAACCATCACAAAAAAAAAAAGAAAGAAAGAAAGAAAAGAAAAGCTTGGGTAAGCTATTTCAGGGCAGGAATGCTCTTTAAAATTGTGAGTTTGGAAAAATGTGGGACCAGGGAAGAAAAGCTGGCCTGGAGGACCCCAGAGAGGCCCCAGAGCCCACTGGGGCAGAAGGTGAGCCATGGGCATGACTTGATATCCATGTATTCATCATGGCCACAGAGACCCCTTCATACAATACAGCCACAGCCCGGGGCAGCCTGGCATCATAAGGACTCTGGTTTTCTGGGCAGCACTCAACAGCATTGGCCTCTGCCTTTTGCAGGGTCTGCAGAAGTGCATGAGAAAGCTCCCTTGGTGAAGTCGCTGCTGTTGGCCGGGCCTCCAGGGGTAGGGAAGAAAATGCTGGTCCACGCCATCTGCACAGAAACCGGAGCTAACCTCTTCAACTTGTCCTCCTCAAACATCGCAGGGAAGTACCCCGGCAAGAACGGCCTGCAGATGATGCTGCATCTGGTCTTCAAGGTACGTGCTGTGGCTCCCTTTCCATTCTAAGTGACACACGTTCCTGCAGGTCATTTTTCTAGGCCAGCGGACACACTGGTGTTGAACTCCCATTTTCATGCCTCCATAAATTAACTCGTTCTCACATCTGGCTGAGCATCCCACAATTAGAAACAGCTTCTTTGGAGTGTAAACACCCTACTGTGCTGCCCAGCCCTGACTCCTGTGGCCACAGGGTTCCTTGCTGAAAATGTCTGTGTGTCTCCTGGAAAATCAAACCCACGTTTGACTTCCTCAGCTCCTCAGCATCAGATCTGTGCTTGGATGGTTTCTCATGTGGTATAAATTACAGCACTCCAATACTCTGAGCTCTGGCTCTCCCAATGGGTCTGAAGGAGGAACCTGCAGGGAACTAAGCCCAGTGCAGGAGGCTAACAGACAAGGATGACACGGGGTCACAGACAGCATCTCAGAGGACCCAGCGCACTGCCAGTTCTGTGACCTTAGTTAAGTTCTTAACAAGCCCTTTGGGTCCCATCACCAAAAGGAATGAATCCTAACGAACTCTGATAGGAATCTTTTATATATGATATGAAGATTTTACAAGATGTAATTTTGACTTGGCTAAGGACCTTGGGGTTATCCGCCTGCCGGTCAACCCGCCTTTAGTTGTTAGACTGTCAGCTTTGACTATAGAAACCAATGTGGTTGCACTCACTGTCCAGGCTGGGCACTGGGCTGAACCTGCCTTTCAGAGCTATAAAGCATGGGGATGGTAGTGCTGTGGAAACACCGACGTGGGCCCCTCCTAGGAATACTGACCCAGTGTATGAGATGAGTGAAATGGACTTTGTTCCTGCCACCTCTCACCATAGGACTCTTAGGGAGTGTTGCCCCCCCCCCTTCTTTAATGCTTGTTACAAAGGAACGCTACAGTGCAACACCTCCAATGTGCTCAGCTCACATGACTGCCTCCTCTTGTGAAATATCTCTTCTGGACCTTGACTACTCTGTATGGATGGATGGGTGAGGAGGGTGTGTTGGTGCTTGCATGTGTGGGATGCACTTGTGTGAGCGGGGGTAAGCATACACACGTGTAAGAATGCACGTGACAGCCAGAGGTCAACTTTGGGTGCCATTCTTCAGATACCATCCGCTTCACTTTAGGAGACTGGGTCACTCACTGGTCTGAACTCACCAAGCAGGCTGGGCTTGCCAATTAGCCAGCACCAGAGATCTGCCTATCTCTACCTCCCCAGCCCTGAACTGGAAGCACACACCCATGCCCAGCTGGCTTAAATGAGTACTGACTGGAGATCAAGCTTCGGTCTTCATTATTGAGCAAGTGCTTACCACCTGAGCTATCTCCAGCTCCCTGTGCACCTCCCTTCTATGTTGGCTTCTTGGTTTGTTAGAATTGTTTGTGTATCCAGGATGGGCATCCTCATGACACATAAATTGCAAGCACCAGCATTTCCCTAGCAGACACTCTTGTGCACACTGCTCTGAATGTGTGCTGGTTAGTTCAAACCGTTGATATGACACAGCCTGGAATCACCTGGGGAGAGTCTCAAAGAGGAATTGTCTTCATCAGATTGGTCTGTGAGGATTGTCTTGGTTGCTAATTGATGTAGAAAGATACAGTCCATTGTGGGCAGCACCATTTCCTAGGCAGGAGGTCCTGAATTGTGTCAGAATAAAGAAACCAGGGGCTGTGGAGATGGCTTGGCAGTTAAAAGTAATGGGTCCTTTTCTTCAGAAAAGGGTCCTGAGTTCAATTCCCAGCAACCACAAGGTGGCTCACAATGATCTGTAATGAGATCTGGTGCCCTCTCCTGGCCTGCAGGCATACATGCAGACAGAACACTGTATACATAATAAATACATAAATCTTTAAAAAATGTTTTAAAAAAGAATAAAGAAATCAACATAAGCAAAGAAACAAGCATTCATTACCCTCTGCTCTTAGCTGTGAATATGACATGACTAGTTGTTTGAAGTTTCTGCCTTGACTTTCCCGCTATGATAGACTGAAGCCTAGAAGTGTAAGTCAAATGAACCCTTTCTGCCCTATGTTGCCCAGCTCCCTGAAGCTGAGGTCCAAACCCAGAGCTTTGTGCTTGCTAAATTGCACTCCACCACTGAGCTAAATCCCAACACCCCACTGCAATGTTGCTTTTAGTCCAGATATTTTATCACAGCAACAGAAATCAAACTCCAATAGTAACAGAGTCTCACAACATTCTATGATGTAGAGAGTGCCACTGCCTTCATCACCCATAAGAAAACAGAGTCACGATGTGAAGGAATAACTTTCTGGGGTCACGGTGCTGCTGTGTGACCCCCAAAGTTCATCCAGACCCTTCATGGTTCATAACCTGAGTTATGAATAAACAACTTGTACCTGGGTTCCTTCACTCGACACATGATTTCTGGTGTGACTCTGGGCACTGCCAGTGACCTGAGCCTTATGTTCTCATTCTAGGGACGTGAGAGCCCTTGTCTTGATAACAGATAAGCAATCGTTGCACTTACGAGAGTAATCACAACCCGACATTATGTAGACAGAAAATACTAGACATCAAGCTATTAAAATGTAGACCTGCACATCATCCACCAAGGCCCTGTGGTGTCGGAAGCCTGACACACACCTCATTAAGCGTCACCTTTGTTGTGTATGTAGCTGATTAATGAAAGACCCAGAAGTCTCTGGAGTGGGAGTCATTCAATTAAAGACTGCTCCAAGAGACCACTGTGCCCCAACATGACTGACATAGCAGTTATCTGCATCTAATTAACCAGAGGAAGGCAGGATTGGGAGCTTGCTTAGGCCAGTCAAGGGCAGGAAACCGGAGAGTGTGGCTTGCTGTCGAATGTAGGACCCAGGCTGTGAGCTTAAGGGCAGTAAGGCTGGCTCTGTGGGATTTGCTGGAGATGAATAAAAAGGGTCTTATTACCCATCATGCCTCTTGAGACTAATCCCTATGCCTGAATTAATCTTTTTGGGAGACGCTGCAACTGCTAGGAAACTCTGTATGCTTTTGCGGCCAGTTGGGGGCGCTCAGAATCCCATTCACCGGAAAAATAGGGTGGGAAAGCAAACCTCAGGTTTACAGATTACAGGTTACAGGTTCAAGTCCATTTTGTGGCCCTTGCTCCTAAAGGATCCTTGTATTTTACACAGGGTAGCACCCCTCCATCCTGATCTCTCCCCTAAGTACAGTAACAGCACCATTGTATTTCATTCCTACCAGCCCTGCCCTGCCCTGCCTGCCCTGCCTGCCCCCACACACTGCCCATCAGAGCGAAGAGCCTTTCTTATGGGTCCCTGCATCCCTAGTTTTTCTCTCCCCAGCTAGGAATCTAGTTGAAGCCTCCTTTGCTTCAACTAGACTCCCAGTTTTAGCATACTTCTGCACTGTTGTTGATTATCATTTTCAGTTTGAAAACTAAGTTAGCCTCTTGCTAGAACTTGAAGTCGCTTTGCTGGTTGTATACAAGATAGCACAAGAAGACAGCAATTAACAATAGAAAGTTAAAACAGTGGGAGTGCAGAAAAAAATGTCTTCACGTACTATTCAAATGGACCCCTCGATGCCCCAAAGAGTGACATCTAGGTCAATTTCTGGCACAACATGCACACATATACACATGCATGCTCACACACACACACACACACACACACACACACAGAGAGAGAGAGAGAGAGAGAGAGAGAGAGAGAGAGAGAGAGCGGAGGGGTGAAGATGGAAAGATAATCAGAAAGAGGGAAAGGGGAACAGAAACCTTGGTACAGCATCAGGTGTGAAAATCAAGGGTCCTGGACACTGAGCATAAACCCTCAAAGGGTAAAGAATGTGAACCCCCAATAACCTGAACCCTTCCATTCCTCTCCAGCATGGCAGCACCACACACACACACACACACACACACACACACAGAGAGAGCGAGAGCGAGAGAGAGAGAGACAGAGACACACAGCGC